TCCTTAAGAAATTTCTTTTACACTAGAAACCGCTTTACGGGATAAACAGTTGTCAGCATAAACAGAAAGCCTTTCCTTGTGAATGTCCTTTGCAGGCAGCCCTCCCCCACCCAAAGCACAACAGCATGTTGTTTTTTGAGGGTACACTCTGTAAGTACAGTCACAATTTTGTTTCTGTGTTGCGAATGTGCATGCAGCACCTAGCACCATCTAACAGAGACATAAGGTTCGATGTTGCTGTCACCTAATGACACCTTTAGAAACCACCAACTACATTTTCCTGCCATCCTATAACCATGTGTGACTTACTTATTGACTTCCCCTTGCATAAAGATATATTTCTTCTTCTTCGCATTCACCAGCGTTAAACTCTACTGGAAAGTTCTAGATGTCTGTCCACTTCTGGACTTTTAGTGTTGTTCCAGAGCCTCAGTTTTGTGTGTACATCCATTTTACAAATCTGGCTTATTTGTATGCAGACTGTTGTTTTCTTGCTTCTCAAGCTGTTGCATGACTTCAAAGGAAGCCCTCAATTAGTCGACTCTTATGACATGTTTGTTGGGGAGGCAGCGGGTCTATTCTTGCTTTCCCCACAATGCGACCCCCGGAATCCATATGGGGAATAAAGATATATAAAGGCAGTAACCAAAAAACATGAACAAACGTTGAGCATTAAATGGAATACATCCCCCAGGGCCCAAAAAAACCATATGTACTGGGTGACTCCATTCCGTGACCCTGTGACCTCTACCACTGAGGTATACAACAAAATCTGAACATGCATAAAGTACAATGACAAATAACAGACAAAAAATTGCATGTAAGTGACTTTGACCTGCAGGTTACAGAAAGCTGGTGTTTCCATTACGAGCGTTCCATTTAAAACTTTGCAGGCTGAATGTGGTCTTTGGAATTTACCTCGCTGGTCTACAATCTAGACTGAGACTATAAACTCAGGATAGTCAAACCGTAAGTTTGCAGTCCGGAGGAGGAAAAATGGAAGAGGGTAAAAAGTTTTAGGTTCAACAGCTTTATCATCATCATCATCATCAGGTGCCTTGCCGACTGGTGTGGGCGATCATGCCTCTCCATAATCCGCGATCTCCTGCAGTATGTATCAGTTCGTGTGCCGACACACCTCCATGCCATGCAACAAGACTGTCAAGCATCTTCTCTCGTTGTCTTCCTCTATCCCTCCTTCCACAGATCTTTTCAGTGGTCACAACATGTTCTATTTTCCCTCTTCTCATAACATGGCCGAAAAATGATGACTGTCTCCTTCTGATGTCAGTGATAAGTTGTCTTCGGGCTCCCACCTCTTTTAAAACCTCTTGGTTGCTCTTTTTGGCTGTCCAAGGTATTCTAAACATTCTTCTGTAAAACCACATCTCTGAGGCCTCTAAAAATTGTTTGACCTGCTTACCGATTGTCCAGGATTCACATCCATATAGCTTTATCATAGCACTTTTAAATAACGATTCAACATCAAGGCAAGTAAACAGCTTCCAAAGTACTACTGTTCATGGCAGAAGTATAAACATAACATGTACAAAAAATTTACGAATACATTCTTAACCAAAAAAAAAAAGTTGTTTACAGGCAAGATGACTGATTTTTACTGCACTGGGTTTCATCCCATACAGCTTAGTCTCTCCCTCTGCAGTTTATCAGTTTAGATGTTGCACGAAGCATGAAATTACATAGCTCTAGCAATAAACCTCAAGGCTGACTATGGAAACAGTGGCTCTTGCAAAATGAAGGATGGAACCAGAAAATGAAACCACAATCTTTAGAGTGCAGTGCTGTTTGATGTTGGTTAACAGAAGCAGCATCACATCACAGCACTCCAGACACATCGTCCTCTTTCTTTGCTGCAAACTCTGGCAGAAAGTCCTAGTCATTCCTCCACTTATTTTTCCAGGACTTTAGTTTTTCATGCACATCCTTTCTATAGATCTGGCTTATTTGTGTGCAGACTGTTGGTTCCTTGGCTCTCAGGCAGATGCGCTCCAACTTTGAAGGAAGTCACATGTCCTTAATAAGCTCTTCTTCTTGTTCAGCAAATACTGAAGTGTAGTGTAGTAAAGATTCCCATTACTTCATGGATGGTCAGACATCTAAAAACATTTTAGTCGACAAGTTAACATTCTGTTCTGTTGAAACTACTGACCTTCTGGAATATCTATAAAGCAACATCTAATATACACACACTAATGAAAAAAAAAAAAAAAAAAAAAACAAGAAGAACTACACACTGAATCAAAATATATCATAGAAAACTAGTAGGAAATTACAACTTGTGGAAGTTGCTTGAAGGGCAGCAATGGTTACAGTCATTCCGCGTCGATGTATGTGTGAAAAAAGTAAAAAGTAAAGGACCCTTTTCCACGCCTTTAGGCGTATAGGGCATATAGGACTAGACCTATATTTTTATACACCAAAGGCACAAGATGGATGATGTGGTCAGCATCACACCCGTTGCCTTTACTTCCCGGGACTGCACCCGGTACCCACTCAAGGCTGGGTCGACCTAGGAGCCAAGGTAATTTTTTTTTAAAAGTCCAGCTTCGCCAAGGAGTGAATCCATGACCTTCCGATCCGCGGCGTGCGTCTAGCCGCTCTGCCACGGCAACTCCTGATGTATGTGTATATACATATATAACAGTGTATTAACATATACCTGTATAATGAAAGTCACAGAGTGTACATAACAATACATACATGTTAAAACTATCATAAATGTTAAAATAACAGAAAACATTACCAGAAACAGACAAGTCAAAGAATGCGCATTCCCAAGAAATTTCTCACAATAATTAACTACCAAGTATATCTTCTCTTCTTCTCCTTTCCTCGGCTTTCACCAACTGCTTGAGCTAAAAGTTTTTGGTTGTTCATCCACTTCTGAAGTTTGGTCTTGTTCCAGAACTTGAGCTTTGCATGCACACCTGTTTTACAGATCTGGCTTCTTTGCATGCAGACTCATTGTTCCTTGCCTCTCAGGCAGATACACTCTGACTCACCCTTAATTTGATGCTATACTTGTTAGGTGGCATTGACCCATACAGGGAACCAAGTGTGTATAATGTAATCCCAACAATAAAATCTTTAATCTGTTTTAATCACCGCTCATTTATGGCACCTACGGCATCCGTGGCTAAGGCATTGTGAGTCCGACTCGTAATTCCAAAGTACCACCATCTAAACCCACTGCTGGCTGCGTGGATTTTTATCGTGGTATGGGGCGTTGCAGTTTGACCCAGTCTGAAATGGTTACCAGGATGGATGTCCTGGGGAAGCAAAGACGGCCGGCGTAATGTCGACCACATTACCCACCCAGGGCTGACAAACAATGACAGTTAAAAACAGAAGTCATTTTATTTTTCTCTCAGTATCAGGCAAAATTTCAGGATGCATGGTAAATGACTAAATCACTGTACCACAATGAGATTCAATGTTCTGACACTGGTTAACTGAAGCAAAACTGGCACTGACACGGCACTACAGTCCAAACCCATAAGGTCTCCTTCTCTCATACCAGATACACAGATGTATGCTAACTATTCCTGCCACACTAAGATTAGGTTAGTTACATATCCTTTACAGGACGTTGCAGAACCAACCCCAACAGCCCCTGGCTGTTGTGTGGTTTTTCTAGACAAATTTACGTCCAGTAGTTTGCTACTGCTTTCTGGACGGTCAACTTTCTTGATACCACTGTCAAAACCAACGCAAGGCTGCAGGTTTGCCATTGCTTTCTGGACGGTCAACTTTCTTGATACCACTGTCGAAACCAACGCAAGGCTGCAGGTTTGCCATTGCTTTCTGGACGGTCAACTTTCTTGATACCACTGTCGAAACCAACGCAAGGCTCATGGCCTGCAGCTGGGATCGAACGTGGCATCCCGGCATTACGAAGCGTTCGCATCGACTTAGCCACAAAGCCGACACTAAGATTAGGCAGATATCTAACATGTCTCAACTGACATGTCTAACGCTCTGAGGAAACTAATAACTTGCTGGAGTATCTACAAGACAACATCTAATGTACAAAGATATTCCAACATTTGGAGCAAGAATTATGTACAGAAACAAAATATAAGGCACCTAAGTTGATTTTTTTAATGATATTTGGTATTCACGCTTGTCATTAAATAAGTATTGACGTTAACAATCTACTAGTCATCCTTACTTTTCCTAGCAAAATCTTCAGAGATATGTGTGCATGTTCAAAATCCCTTGGCAATCAAAAACAGCACGCTGAACAGATTCAATTTAAAAAATGTGAAAAGTCATCCATAAATTTAAAAAAAAACTTTTTTTTTTATTACCCACCAAAAAATATATTAATGTCATCTTTTTTAAAAATCACCCCCCCCCCCCCCCTTCTCAAGATTTGCATTCTGCAGGGTTAACACCCCAAGGATGAGAATCAAACAGGCACAAAGCCTGGGAAACCCCATCCAATCATAAAGCACAGTTATACTGGGGCACCACAAAATGATTAAGAAGTAACCTTTTGGCCGGTGTGCAAAGAAAGTGACTCCCCAGTCTAAAATGGGTACCAGGATATGGCCTGTGAAGTCAAGCAAAGCTGGCCACATCACCCAAAGAAAGCTGATTGGTAAAATATGTCTACCATATAATGCCCTATTTGCCACTGGCATAAAAAAAAGGGTAGTTTATTAAAAAAAAAAAAAAGAAGAAATCCTTATCTCCAACCAAACCACATCCTGGTACCCATTTGACATGAGAATTAAGCTATTTTAAAATAACACCATACACCCAGTAACCACAGAATCATAGATCGGTAACCACAGAATCATAGATCGGTAACCACAGAATCATAGATCGGTAACCACAGAATCATAGATCGGTAACCACAGAATCATAGATCGGTAACCACAGAATCATAGATCGGTAACCACAGAATCATAGATCGGTAACCACAGAATCATAGATCGGTAACCACAGAATCATAGATCGGTATTAGCAGTTGTTCACCTGTTACCAATAACCTCATTTATTGTTCTGTCACTTATGCCCTCACCATTTAAAGAGTTGTCAATCTGCTTTTGTTTATGCTGGACTTCACTGATGGGGGAAACACAATATGGTGTTGATTCACTGAAAAATCTGCTAGAATCAACTTTATAACCGTTCGCTGTTCTAGGCTTTTCCGTTGCTAAAGCATTTTTGGTTGATGTTGTTGGTAATGAAGATTTAATAAATTTCTTAGGGGTTGCAGGTTGGGGTGACGAGTGCTGGAGTTTCAGTTCACTGATTATTCTTTTCACAGCTACCATCCACTGGCTCACCTGAGAAGCAAGTTGAAAAGTGTATTAGTTCAAATTGTGATCAGGATCAAAACAAGACAAATAAACCAAATAAAGAATAAAATAAAATGTCCTTTTTTTCTGTACATCTCATGTTTTCAGGCCCAAAAAGAGAACGACTTTCCTTTCCATTCAAAAATTACTGTGTAGCAGAGCTTGTGCTGTGTTGCAGGGGTGTCAGTCTTAGTGACCGACCAACAACAGGCAGAGTTTACTAGTTGTCACTGGCCAGCGATATCACGTGTTCTATATTACAGGATGTGAGCCCTTTTAACGGTTCCAAAACATGCAGAACTGGCCCTAACCCCAACCCCCTACACCCACGAGAGAGTGCAGCCTATATCCAGTTCTGCATGTTTGTTTTTTCTGGTTTGTTTTCTGATTTTATTACAGCACTCATCTCTGTATACCAGTCGATCACCTTATCTACTGTCACCTGTAACTCTCCAGCTATTTGATTACGATCTCTCCTCTTCCTATATACGAGAACATCATCTGCAAATGTCAATATTCTGTCAACTCCATGATCCTATAAAATAATAACTGCCAGACACAGAAATCCATCCAAAATCGAGGCTTAGATATCTGTTTCGTGACGAGATAAAGTTTTACGAAGGTGGGGGTGTCGGCCGGCTTTAATCCCTAACCTGGAGGACCAGGGTGTCTCTCTTTCTCTGTTCTCTACCCTTTGACCATTCTGGCTTGGGAGGCCTTTTTGGTAGCCACATAAAGTCGATAATGTGAAAATCAAATGAACTGAAACATTTAAGTACTTGGGTGCAAACTTTAACTGCTCCAACATGCTGAGAGAAGAAATACAATCTAGAATACAATCTGGAAATAAAGTATATTATGCCCTTCAACATCTCCTTAAGTCAAAGAGTCTGTCTTGCAACACTAAGATCAAAATATATAAAACGTTGATAAGACCAGTCGTGTTATATGGCTCTGAAACTTGGAGCACAACTAAAAGAGATGAAGCCTTATTACAGGTTTTTGTAAACAGAGTCTACGACAAATCTTTGGACCCATCAAGATGCAAACAGCGGTGAATGGAGAGTGAGAAGCACAAAAAAAAAATTCATAATCTGTTTAAATCACCACTAATAACTGGCATCATGAGAGATAATAGACTAAAATGGTTGGGGCATATTGAGAGAATGTTAGATGACAGAGAAGTAAAAACTGCATACAGCAAGGAGATGAATGATCGTAGACCACAAGGCAGACCAAGAAGACGATGAAGAGATAATATCCAGGCAGATCTGCAAACACTTGGTGTCGCCAACTGGAAAGAGAAGATTAACCAGAGAGATGAATGGAGGCGGGTGATATCTGCAGCAATGAACCTCAAGGGCTCGGAATGCTGAAGAAGACACAGAAATCCTTTAAAGAAATGGTTATCAAACAAATTCTATGAAGAAATGGTTGTCAAATGCAACAATTTTATTAAGGGAAACAGAAATCCCATGAAGGGATAACTACTACAGACATCCTCTCACCTCTGTTATATGGTCCACCATTAAGGCAAGATGTAGTCTGTCAGCTTCCTTCAGATCATTATTTTTTAGAGCTGCACAGAAGGAAGTAAAAATTATTGAATTATAATGTGTGAACAAGGAATCCGCAATACATACACTACAACACTGTATTAATACAGCTCAAAAAGGTCTATTTGGAGCTCCAGAAAAAATAATAACGACATTACATTCCTTAGGATAGTTGCTACAAGTCTGTTGATACAGGTTCAAATGCCAAATGAGATGGATTTTTAAAATTTGATCCAGCAGCCTAGGAAGCAAAGATGACCAGTGCTACACTGACTGCCAACTGGCCTACAAATAAATATAAGGCTAGCACCAGAAGCCAAACAAACCCAGGCTAAAGGATTGATTGACCTACTTTATATCATCTTCTGCCTACATGCACAGAAAATGAGTACTAGACACTTCAAAACAAAATATACCAGAAACTGATTACAGAAATGCATCAATATTTTTTTTACTGTGGTATGTTATGAATCCAATTTTATTAAAGACACAAATAATACTTAATAAGTGCTAATTTATAGGATTCAGAAAAACAACATGAAAGCAAAACAATGAACATTTCGAACAATCTTATAATTACCAATAAATACTTTAACTACCAGTGCATACACACATCTTCTTCAACATTCAGAGTCCTTAAAGTTCACTGAGGTGCATATATTACCAGCCCCCATTCATCTCTGTGATCGGCCTTCTCTTTCCAGTTGGTGACTTCTTGTATTTGTAGGCTTACATGCGTATTATCTCTCCGTAATCTTTTTGGTCAGTGGAACTGATAGAGATATTCAAATAGGAATACAAAAGACAAGAGGAGCTTTCACAGACTAGGGAATTTGTGGAGGTCAAAAGAAATTAGAAGAAATACTAAACTGAAAATTTTTAATTCTAATGTCAAATCAGTACTTTTGTATGGGACGGAAACATGGAGAACAACTAAGGTAATTACTAATAAACTACAGACATTCATTAACTGGTAGCTGCTCAGATTAGAGGGAATTAAATGGTATGATAGAATCACTAATGTAGAGCTTTGGGAGAGAACTAAGCAAGCTCCAGTGGACCAGGAGGTGAAGAAAAGACGCTGATGTTGGATAGGACACACACTGAGAAAACTTGAGAAAAATATAACTAGAATGTCTTTGCACTGGAATCGACAGGGGCATAGGAATAAAGGAAAGCCAAAAAAAACACATGGAAAGAAGCATGCGAAAGCAAAGGATAGAAAGACCTGACGTGAGCTGGTTGAGGGCCTATGCCCCACTGGGGGCTAGAAAGGCAGAAGAAGAAGAAGAATCTTAATGATCTGCCTCGAAGTCTACTCCAATTAAACTTTTTTCTGTGCATGTGGTTTTTGTCCCTGTTATCTCTATATGCCCCATTCACTGCAGTATCTTAGCCCTCATTATGCCAGTAATTAGTCATGATTTAAACAGATAACAAATTTCATTGTTGCTTCTCACTTTCCATTATCTGTTATTTACATCTCTAATGTGTACAGAGAGTTGTCTTAAGACTGTTGTCGAAAGTTTGTGATTTTTATGTTACGAGACAGATTATTCATTACTACCAGATGTTGTAAGAAAAAGTATAAATTATTTCCAGATTGTATTCTAGATTCTAGCATACACATATAATGAACAAAATTACCTAAATTACTAACCAGAAACAAGACAACCTAACTTGATCTCTGCAGCTTCAGACAACTTGTTATCCCTCCATTGATCATCTAACAAACCCAAACGAACTTGAACATCTTCTCGGATTCGTCCCTAGGTAGAAAAGTAACAAATTTCCCAAGTTACAGTATATAGCTACAAAAGATTGCCTGATATTTCTGCAACAAATTCATAGATGAAGATTTAAAAGGCAATATATGAATAATCATAATGAAGAACAGAAACAGACTTATGCATACAAATGAAAACGAGGTTAGTTAGTTAACTGAACTTCCACCTTCACAGGAAATGGGTCACTCCATAACTGCTCTCTTCCTGTGACAGTGAAAACTAAACAGAATGAATGTGGCAGCAGTCTCAGCAAATCAACAGTATAAACAAGCATTTATAATCCAGCCGTCAGAAGTGCCAACACAAAAAGTCCACCACTAGAATTGCAGTTCATTACTGATGGAAGCAGCAGGTGCATATCAGAAATCCCTTGGCAGTTGCAAATTTAAAGAGTGGCTGAATGTAGCCACTCCTGAGCTAAATTCCCAAACCAATGCCCATTTCAAATATTTATAGCATGTATGGCTCAAGTATTCACACATCTGAACTTTTATCAGTGCTACTAAGCTCATACACTGTGTTAATATTCTCTCCATGTGATGTAGTTGAACATTTCTATAGTTTTTAAAAAATGTTTTTGGTGATTTAAAACCATGTCAAAATAAACTACCATGTCAGTAAAAAGAAACCAAAACCTATATATTCTAATTTAAAAGCCATATGCACTGCACAATTTTCCCTACTCAGAAACTATTCTGCTTTCAGATAGGGTCTGGGCAGCACACTGTTGATTATGATGAAAATAAGTCACCATGAAATAGTCATATTAAATACCACAAAATAGTCACATTAGGCACCAGCAAATAGTCACACTGAATTCCACAAAATAATCACATTAGACACCATGAAATAGTCACATTAAATACTACAAAATAATAGTCACATTAGACACCATGAAATAGTCACATTAAACACTATAAAATATACACATTAGATACCATGATATAGTCATATAAAATACCATAAAATAGACACTTTAGACACCATGAAATATTCACATTATATTCAACAAAATAGTCATATTAGACACCATGAAATAGTCACATTAAATACCATAAAATAGACACATTAGACACCATGATATAGTCATATTAAATACCACAAAATAGTCACATAAGACACCATAATATATTCACATTATATTCCATAAAACAGTCGTATTAGACACCAGGAAAGTCACATTGAATACCACAAAATAGTCACATTAGACATCATGATATAGTCATATTAAATACCACAAAATAGTCACATTAGACACCATGAAATATTCACATTATATTCCACAAAACAGTCATATTAGACACCAGAAAAGTCACATTAAATACCCCAAAATAGTCACATTAGACACCATGAAATAGTCACATTAAACATCATGAAACAGACATATTAAACACAATGAAATAGCAACATTTGCACCTGAACAATATACCTGAATACCAAGTTTGCAAGTGTCCACCATTTTATGCAATATTTTCTTTGTGTATTTCCTCAAAGAATCAGTCGAGTCTAGATCCAGCCTGTCCAATAGCTCAGGAAGAGTTTCTAGCCGCCAGCAATCTTGGCCAGCAGTTGCAAATGATGGAAGAAGTTCACGACAGTCCGTGGGTGGATGTTGCAACAGAAGAGGGACCGGAGAGTGCACTGATGATGATGCTGCAGGAGGCAAGATGCAGACCTCGTGTAACTTGGGAAGCTCATTCGAAGGACTGAGAAGCATCCCTAAAATTACAATAATGCAAATTAATTATCACCATCATAGTCCTGTAACATAACAAGTGAGGAAAACAGATGATAATGTATGGGGACTGGTGGCCAGGACTCTGTCCCTTAAGACTTGTCAAGAAAGGCTCTGGGGAAACACCCAATTATTCTTGTGTGTACGTTCTCTCTATCCCCTCTCCCATTTTTTTTTCTTTAAGCTTCTAAGTCATAGTTCAGTGAATAAATTCTCTGCATGTTGTTGGGTCACCAGTTACTGCTGACTGTCTGATCAGCTTCAGGTACTTTAATTTTATATGACCACATCTCATTGGTTTTGAGATTTAATAAGGAATTCCAAGGGATCCCTAGGGGTTTCCCTGGATAGTACCATATTATTGGGGGGGGGGGGGGAGGTCTAGTGTAAAATGAATAGTGACTACTACTAAGCCTAACCCTAATGCCTATACTATTTAACATTTTGGGGATTTCCTACCAAATCTTGAAGCCGACAAGATGCGGTCACATAAAATGAAAGTACCCAGGTCTCTCCCACCTCTGTCAGTCGAATGCCCTTCATGTCTACATGTTCATAGTGGCAAATTTGTTGATAGGTAAACTCCGTAATTTATTATATGGTCAATAACCTCCACAAAGTACTGCTTGGCAGCTTGCTCTACATGATGTGTCTTTGGTGCAGCCAAGTATTAGTATGATGCACATTCACATTTTTTTTTAAAACATGTCCAGTCGATTTGTGTCTTACTAAGGGCGAGGATCGGCAGTGCACATATTGTATGACTATGAGAGAGAGAGAGAGAGAGAGAGAGAGAGAGAGAGAGAGAGAGAGAGAGAGAGAGAGAGAGAGAGAGAGAGAGGACCAAACCATGAAAGAAGAGGATGACTAGCAGCCTTTGCTCACCACTGGCAGCCATAACTCATAGCAGCCAAACACTTTCTGGCCTTGCTGATAAAAGTAAATAGTATCAACTTGGAATCCGCAGCTAAGGCTCCAATCAAAACTTACTCCCAGTTAAAAGTTCAGTCCTGTGAGTGAGGCATCTGTTTGTTTTGTAAACTAACAGTAGTCAGTACCAAGTGCACAGTTTGAATTATTTATGTTGAAACACTGTATTTTATTTTGATAGCAACAACCGTTAAAATAGATTGAAAAACACTTACTATTATATGTTTTAATCCCTACGATGTTTAATACTTATTTGTTTATCTATGCAGTGACTATGTGTAACAACATGTTTGGATCTTCTTCGTTTCGAAGCAACCAAGCTCCTACGGCTGCCATTGTTGGTCACGTGATACCGACAGGACCAATCAGACACCATTATGCCAGATAGCCGAGCCTTTCCCGCCGCGACTTGTCATAACATTTGAAAATGCAAGCCAAAATAGTTTTATTTGTCTTTAAAGTTAGTTTAGAGGTTTCTTTTCAAACTAATTTATTCCTTAACGGGCTGAATAATTCTAATTTACTTTACGCCATGGTGTGAAGATTTTATTCTGCCAATAATGTATAGTTTGAGAAAAGAGAAGCGGGTACGTAAAAAAAAAAAAAAAATGCCAAGCCCTTGTATGACGAGTCGACTGCTAAAGTAGACAAGAGACAAGAGGAAAGTTGGGACTAGTTCAGTCTCCAACCACTTAGTGATTTATTTTCTACATAACTAAGTATGTATCCGTTAGACTAGCAATGCCCGGCTTTTGTGCTGAGGCCATTCTCATTTGTTTTCATAGAAAAAAGTGACAGCGGTATTAAGCTTCGGTAGTATTTTGAGTTTAAGAAGGGTTAGGTTGTGTTAGTACTGTTAGTTTGTTGTGTCTCCATAGTTTTGGAGACTGTCGTTTTGCAAAAGAAAAGTTAATGGGTGTATTTTGGTAGACAAGTTGTTATGAAGCAGAATAAAATTCGCCTGGAACCTAGACCAAAAGTGGCATATTTATTATTCTGTTTGATATTTTTTCTGTGTTTTATTCATGGATGCCTTACTGTGAAAGAAGAAACAAAGAAATTGGATATTATACAAGATGAAGCGCCCAAACCAGCCCCGGTGTTGGTGGGAAAATCACAGAGCTCCAAGAAGGATGTAAATTTTCCATTAAAAGGAGATGTACCCCCTACTGGTTAGTATGATTTCGGTCTTCTCAGAATTTACAGGGACGCTGTATAATCCCAATTGTTATTCTAACCCACAGGGTTGAACAGGGTACTATTTAGATGAAAATTATACTACCAGGCCTTTTTTTTAAAACTTGAAGTAACGGTATTCAGTACCGGCACAAATTTTCAGGCATCATTTTTTCCCCCCAGCGTTACTGTAATAAACACATTATTGTGAGCACCAGCACCTTTTCTAGCCACTTTGTGTTGAGTACCCACACCTTTTTTCTAGGGGGAAAGCTGCCCGATTAGTGTTATTACTACTACTCTTTTACTTTTGTCTGTTGGTTTTAGTTGATGTTCCAACCAATATAGTATTGTCCTTCAGAAATAATGAAACTTAAAATTTGTTTACTGGATTGCAAGAAGTATGAACTCAAAATGACACCCCAATTTAACACAGCCTGATTATCACAGTGATTTGACGTTTACTTTTACTCATAAAATATTGTAATATAGATTTCATGTCTACTACTACTACTCCTGCTGCCGCTGCCACCGCCACTGCTACTGGTTCTTTTCTGTTAAGTCACCACATCACGCGAGATTTAGGGAAATCCCATACTATTAGGAGGGGGGGGGACGGCTAGGGTTAGTAGTAGTTTTTATTCATTTAACACTAGCCCTAACCCCCTATACTGTAGGATTTCTCTAAATCTTATGTGATGTGATGACTTTACAGAAAAGAACCCTGCTACTACTACTACTACTAGCCCCGTTAGCGCAGTCGATACAAGGCTCGCTTTCAAATCTAGCTGCGACTCGCTGCAGCCACGGTCGGTGTTCAAAACCGGGTGGTTCCCGGGGTTCACCCAGCCTCTAGGAAATTGGTACCAGAGTTGACACTCTGGGGTAAATGGAGGAACGTCATTGTAGCTACAGAGCTACGTGCGGACAGCAACACAGGCGGACAGTTTCTCATCAGCTGTCCGTACTGATGGCACAGCACTTATTGTTTGTAACCGTGTGCAATGATGCTGGTTCACATCTCCCGAATTTTTACTGCTACTGCTGCGGCTGCTGCTGCTACTACTACTACTATTTAGTTAGTTAGTCAACAGATTAACCTCATTGCACATCGAACCATTCAGTCCATAACTGCTAAGATCCTCTTCTCAGTTAATCGTGCAGCGGGCAGTGGCTGATGACACCCATCCTGTCTTGGTTTTTTATTCTTCTTTGGCTTTCTTCATGGTGCTGTTGTCTGGCGACACCCCTCCTTTTAGCATGCTGTTCTGGCACCACTACTACTACTGCTGCTGCTGCTATTGCTGCTGCTTCTACTACTGCTACTACTACTACTACTACTACATGATATGAAATGTCACAGCTCACATTGAATAAAAGACAACAAATTCGTTTGTTCCCTAGTTACATATCTGATTACATCTAACCTGTCAGAAATTCTCATTTAAAAATCAAACTCATCTTGAAAGGGAGAAATAAAAATAATGAACATCCTCTGAACATAATTTCACTCAGAATTTTTGTTGTAAGTTTGTAGAAATAAACACATCCCCCATACATGTAAACATATGGGTCATGAAAGGCAAACATTTCAAAGGTTTGTAGGAAAACTGGTTTCCCATGTTGCTGAGATTAAGACCTGCCTTTCTCACTTTGTGTAAGGCGAAGGTAGTCCCATAGCAGATGCTTGGAAGAATATTAAACCAAATGAAAAGTAGAACAAGTCAGCTTCACATTATCACAGACAGGAACAACAAATGAATGTTGCAGCTATGAAGCCTTCATCAGCATATTACATTAATAGACAATGCCACTAAAATGAAAAAAAAATACACAAAGTTGTTTACCTGAAGTGTCTCAGAGATAAATCCACATATCTGTCTGGCCGGTTGAATCTGACACACACGTGTACACCGGAAATATAAACTAGCCAGAAAAAGTTGTGACATACAAGGGTTGTAACTCAAAAAAATTTGATAAAACTGTTGGACATTATGTCCCTTAGGTGAGTTAGAGCCTGTTAGATAGATAAAGTGGTTCTCAAGAGACTTACAGGATTCTGACTTATGGAGTTAATAGTTAATCTATGATGTCCTTTTATCCTTACTGCCAGTTTTGTATTCTTATTGCTGATCTATGAAGTACGGTTATCTTTATTTCTAATCTATAAAGTAATCTTTTTGCTGAATTTTAGGTAAAGTCTTATATTATTTACTGTGTCAATGATTGGGAGGATACCTCTTTACAGATTTTCATTGATGATAACATGATAAAAAAAAAGGTTGTTTATCCTTTACAGGACAATGTAGAACCAACCCCTGCATTTTTTGGCTGTTGTGGTTTTTCTAGGCAAATTGTAGGTTCAGTAGTTTGCCATTGCCCTCTGAATGGTCAGCTCTCAGTATAATGTCAAAACCAACGCAAATCATCCGCAGCTGGGATCGAACCTGGTACCCCGGCATTACAAAGTGCGTACACAACGCCTAAGCCACAGACTTTGATGATCATAACATGAGACCATAAAATTCCTAGTATATGACAGTCACCTGTTTACATGCATTAACATTTTGTATTCAATATTGTGTGAGCCACAGGTTGTATCTGCATGAGAGATAACATCTTGATGTATTATTTAAAATTTTTTATCTTGGTTGGTCTGGATGCAGAACAAGGAAAAACTATTTCACTATATCACTTTATGATCATTTGGAATTCATAATCACCGTTTGTGAGTAACTCAGATATTAACTCAAGTTAATTTCCGCCAAAGGTTCTAGATAATGCCGATAATGGATAATTGTTTGAGAAAGTATACTATTGTCTGTTGAATTGTCCTTTGACTCATTTGATACCAATGAATGAATAAAGTTCAACCCCACAAGGACCGCACAACTAGGGTTAAATAGTCAGATTTTTTGAATTTTTGAATTTCAATTAAGAAAAACATCATAGCACTCAGGACTTTCCCATTAGCTCTCTAACCCCAACTTCAGCAGCAAGCAAAGAGTTCAAGTTCCAGGGGCACCAATAACTGTCTGATTGTATATCCGTCTCGCCTTTCCCTTGAGTGTTGAGCATCAGTGATACTTTACTTTACTTTTTCCTTCCACGTATGCCGCTAAGCGTTGTGGGGAGATGCAAGTTCCTGTCATAAGCAAGGCGGGCAGCATCTGATGTTCTGAGGCCATGCTTTTGGCAGGTTTCGGAGACCCCGTCAATCCACCGTTTCCTTGGTCTTCCTCTTGCCTTATATCCTGAGCTTCTTTGATTGAAAATTTGTGATGTTATTTGATCATTTTTCATCCTGGTTAGATGTCCAAACCATTTCATTCTTTGATGTTCTATGTAGTCTAAACATGGTGTAGTTTTGACAGTGTTTCTAATGTCTATATTCTTTATCCTGTCTAGTCTTGTCTTATTCGCTGCTTTTCTTAGACATTTCATTTCACAGGCTTCTATTTTTCTTTCATGGGTCTTGTTGATTGTCCATGTCTGGCACTGGTAGCAGAGGAGCATCAGTGATATTCCCTGTTAACTCCTCGCAGTGCTGTTGTCCTCAGACCTTAATGATCTATCTGTTCCTCCTCACTGTTCACTTGTTCCTAAAGGGCCCTTACAACATCTAGATTGTCCTACTACACTACCACTATCAAGTGGTGCAGAACTGGCCAGTCTGTCTGCCTGTTCATTTCTTAGCACACTGGCATAACCTGGAGAAAATATCCAAAGGATGCTAACTACCCAGGACCTCTGAAGTTATGCTTGCCACTTTGTACGGAGCATGCCTGTCTCTGCCTCTCTCAACATGCTCTGTGAGTCAGTTACAATCACAATGCCAGGTGATTTAAACAGATACTGAATTTCATTGTTGCTTCTCTCATGACTAAATACTCTTTTCAACACATTTTTTTGGGGTTTTTGCCAGCTATACAATAAAGCCGCTCTTTCTGAGTGAATACTTTTTCTTGTATTGCTACTGCAACCCATATATTCCACTTATGCAGTAATAGAGGTTATAATTGAGGAACAGATAGAGATTTAAAAAAACCCAAAAAAAAAAAACCCCAAAAAAAAAAAAAACCAAGAGAAGCTTTCAAAACTGTGCTAAATTTGTGAAAGTGAGAAAAAAAAATTAATATATAATGTAGTACTATAAAAATATATATAATGTAGTACTGTAAAAATATATATATAATGTAGTACTTAAAATATATATCTTTAACAGCAAGCCTTACATATGATGCAGAAACAGGAGAGTGACTGAACAATTAGTCATCAACTGTAAACATTCACTGTCTCTTGCCTATGTGCAATAGAAAGAATTAAATCACTGATAAGTAGGTTAGAGAGAGTTAACTAAACAAATCCTAGTAAAGGTGATGAAAAGATGCCTGCTGAATATAATACACTTTCAAAACCCTGGATATTGTTTATTTTAGTATCCAGAAGCCGTGAGTTGTTAACCCTTAGGCTAGGTATTATAGATATCGCAACCTTTCGGCCTTGATTGCATTTTAAATACCATAAATCTGGGAGATATGTGGCTTTTCTGCTTACCCCTCGGGAGTGAACCAGGACCACAAGGAGTTCGTCACCCAGTCACCGCGCAATCCGGTTTAGCCAACTACGCTAGAGAGCTGGGCAAACCCTGGATATAATATATTAAACCAGCTTTTGAAAACGGCGAACAGAAGTGATGGAATGAACTTCCTTTGACCAGGTTTTATCCCACCTGGCACGGTCTCTCCCCACAGAGCAGTTATTCTCCTGTCGAAAGCGTCGCATAGATCACAGACTCTGTGACTCCAGCAACCACCCAATTTGGATCTCCTAAAAAAAAATTGCCGTCGTGAACCCTCGACAGTTAGATCAGAAACGGCGCTGTCTAATGTTATATATAGTGACAATGAATTATTTAATAGGAAAGTCTTGTGTCAGGTATGACTGAGCTACTGTATAACACTAGTGGGTACTACTTGTACCAACTCAACGCCGA